TAGATTTATAGCAGCTTGAAGTTGTATTAAGTGATATTTTGCTTTCTGTAATACTGTTATCAAATAAAGTTTGTTTATTCTCTACATCTCATTTTTCTTATTTTTGATATAAAATGCACAGTATTTGTGGCACTTAGTCGGACACACAAACATTTGGAAGATGCTGGCTGTTTTAAAGTGAGCAAACCAACTGGGAAATAACTGGAACTCTTGAGACATTATTAGGTATAAAAAGTAGGGAACCTTCAAAAGTAATTAGTTGGAGGCTTCGTTGCTGTCTGACTTGAGATCATATTACTCAACATTCCAGCTTTTCTTCTTTCTATTGCAGTGCCAGTGACTTTCATGTCTTCTCTAATTGGCACCTCTCTGACACATTGGGGTATAAACCCAGACCAGTAAGCAGTTGTATCACTGCCTGCCTGCAACTTTGGGTGCCTTAAATGCTCTACTGCTGTGGCTTACAGCCCTGACCCCAACAGCCAGCAGACAACTATGCAGGTCATACCCTGGCTTCAACTGCCTAGTTACTTTTTGGAAAATGACCCCCACACCCTCCCATTCTCAAATTTTCCCCAAATCATCTGCCAATGTGACAATCTGCTGGGGTTCCCAGAATAGTGAGTTACTGTTACCCCTTTCAGTCTCAGCAAATAAGAATTTTGCTACTGGTAAGCTGTGTCACAACTCCCTGACACACCAGCTTGTCTGTCTTGCCAGCAAACTCTTCAGGACTCTGCCAGTCCAAGCTTTGCTTTGCAAATAACAACAATGAACTCCAACTCTCAGGTTCTCCAGAGATGACTCCCTGTAGCATCCAGCTCTGTCCTGGAACATTCACAGAAGTGAAGTTCATTGTTCCTTTAAAAAGACAATATACTGCAGCTCATTAATTTAATTTGGGTTTGACAATGACTCTTATTTCAATCAATGCACTGAATTGGTTTATAGTAAAGTAAAACAAGTTTATTTAAAAAAAGACATGGGATTAAGTGATACCAAGTATAAGGAATAAAGATAGAAAGGGTTAAAATTTATCACACAATTTTATCAAGTTACAATCCTTGCCTAAGCAGTTTTCTCATCTAAACTCAGTTCCTAGAGACTTCATCCCTCTTCTTTGAAGGATCCCACATTCTATGATATCAAGAACACTTAATCCCTCAAGTGATAGATACCAAAATGGCTTTCTGCTTCTACTTGTATCTCCCAAAGTTCATTCACCCTGTAACAAGAGGCAGGAAGATTTCATGGGGTGCAGTCTCCATCTCCTGTCACATTAAATGTTCATTTTTCCTTACTTGCTTTCCTGATGGTGGGGTTTTTTTTTCTCACATGGAAATGTACCTTCATTGTGTCTGCCTGATGACCGGGCTGGTCAGACAAGCTAATACACATTCCTTTATCTAAGTCAGACTGGGCTTATGGCTTGCTTGCCAAACATGTTTTAAGAACATAATTCTAGCACATATCCATTACTCTTTGTACGTACCCTGTACACATACCACACAGTGATTTTTGGAGACCCAACATGTTACTAGTTTGTATACAATACCTTACAGGACACCTTTCAGATACAGATTATGACAACAGTTAGGTGCAGTGAGTTTGTCAGACCTGACAAGAGTTGCTGACACAGAGTAATGAATGGGCCTCTGTGTCACAATGCCAATTTCCATCTTTCAGTAAAGAAATCTACCATTGCTGGCAAAGGGCCACAATATTATACCATTCCAAATGTTAAGAAGCACCTTGCCTTGTTGACTTCATGGAGTAAGGTCTACATTATGGTCAGCAAGTAACAGAATGGATCATAGGACTACTTAAAGCAATTATTTTTCTCTCCTCTAGACAATTGAATAGAGTTTTAATGCTATGTTGAATTTTGGAATGGGGGTGCTACGAGTTCCACATTTTTGGGACATTTTATCCTCTTTAGCACATCTTGTTACTATTGCACATCTAAAGTATGCTGTACACGCACTAACAAAACCAACTGGATATAGATAGAATTTGCATTGCTGATACCTGATGCCAGCAAAAGATTTACCAAAATTTTGAAGCCCATCCATCACGTTTTCACCGCAAGTTGTCTGTGAAAATTTTTATATCTCTGCTAAGTATTATTTATATTACTAGAGTACCAACAATGTGGCAACACTAAAAGAACAAAATAAGTAGGGAGGGAGGGTTTGAAGGGTCTTGGGAATATGACAAAAAGCTTGAACTTGATATGATGAATAAGGATGTGGCACCTATCCTTGCACTATATTCCCCACCCCAACAGTAACCTCCGCTGAATGCGGTGGAACAAAACAATACGCTGAGGTGCACCTAGGATGTAGTATTCTCCATGTGGACTCCATGGCCATCTACTGTCCGAGTGGGACCACAGCATTTCCACTGCTTTTTGGGCTCGTTGTTGGCAGAGAATATGGTGGGGGGGGGGGGAGTGAGGCAGGATCAGCCCTTACTTAATACAGGCTGGATAATGTAAGTCACCAATAACTGGTATGTTAACTTATATTTTAATGTCAAACAATATAAAACACTTTGGTGTTTTTTAATTACTTGTCACAATATGCTGAACACTGGCAAACTATCTAACATCTCCTTTCCTGCAAAGATAATGGAGGCACTCTGTCAATTAAATAATAGAAAAGACTTTTCATTAACTGGAGCCCAGGATGGAATAGGAGAAATGAGCATAATAAACTGGAAAGATTTGTCAGCCAAGAAGCAGCAAGGTGAGCTGAAAAGTGAGTCAAAATGGAGAGGTTTGCATTTAAGGGAAGTTTTGGGGGATTTTACGTACAAACAATACATTGGAAGAGATGCTTTTCTGAAGCACCTATGGTTTTTCACTTGATTTGTGAGGTATGCATGATAAAATGTCCCAAAATGTGGAATACGTAACACCCCCGCTCCAAAAACTGTTCCAGCACCACTGCCGCAGCCCCAGGGCTGGAAGAGCACTTGCTCCCTGCCATGGCCCCAGAGCTTTTCCAGTCTTGAGGCTGCAGCAGAGGTGTGGGGGGGAAGGAACGAGCAGGGGGCAGAGCCTTGGGGGGAAGAGATGGAGTGGGGATGGAATGGGGTGGGGCCATGGGTGTGACCACAAGTGAAAGGGGCAGAACGGGGGAGGGGCTCTGAGCTCCAGACAGGGCAATGCGCTCTGCCGCGCTCCTGGATGAGGCTGAGAGCTCGATCCAGGCCAGGGCTGAGCTCTCAGCCCCCCTTGCCCTGGTTGGGGCCATGGGGGGGCTGTGCCTCTGCCAGAAGAGGCAAGGCAGGGGGCTAGCCTCCCCAAGGGGAAGCTTCACCCTCTGCCCATGGTCCCAGAGCTCGAGCTCCAGCCCAAGCAATTAAACAGCCCCTTAACCCAACCCCATGAGCCTGAGTCAGCTGGAAAGGGCCGACCGCAGGATCTATTTGCAATGTAGACATCCCCTAAGGCAAGTTCCCATCCCATTCAGTTGCCAGAGAAATCTGTAGCTCAATCGCTGCCTCCTCAGTCTCACATTCTAACTTAGATTCTTCATTCTTTCAAGATGCTCTGTCTGGACTTAATAAAAACACACCAGACATGACTTTTCAACATGCTGCATTCATAAGGATGGGTGTACTTCTTTATCACTAATTTTATACAGGATATAAGTTTGTTCATCAAGGTAACAGATCTCAGCTTGGAAGGATTAGATTCTTATTGGTAAAAATCAGTAAACCTCGATTTCAACGTGCACATAGAAACTGACAAAAATGTACAGCTAGGCCAAGTAAGAAAAATGTTGCTTGAAAACTTACTAGAGTTTGATTTTAAGGGTATTTACTTTGTATGTTTTGACATGCGATGTTGACAATTTGATTTTTAACAGTGATAAAGATTTAACTTTTTGAAATCAAGGTCTACTGTCATGAAATAATTGTCTCACCTGCCTCCTCTGAGTCCAACTTCTCCTCCTCCCCTTGCTGGGACGGTGGAAGCAGGGCCAGTAGGAGAGTGCGCTGTAGGGCGAAGTATGGTGGTGAGTTTTGCTCTCTGGGATGCTATGGTAGCCAGGAAGGCCTACAGGGATTCATTCTGAAACACGGGGCTAATGGGACTCTGGCTGGGTGGACCAGGCTCGTTAGCCTGGGTAATTGACCTAAGAGACTGTAACTCTGAAAATAAATCTGCAATCAGCAAGTCCTTCAGCTGTCAGTTTGCCTTGCTACTGGAAATGGTCTGGTTGATCAAGAGTGTGTGCGAGTTGGTGTGCAACTGCTCATCCACTTTAAACGAATTCTCACACAGCTTTCAACATTCTAATTTGGTCTGTGGAGTTGTGTGAAGACTCATTAGTACAAACTCTGATTGTCCGTGTTGTTCTCAAATTCAAGGGGATCAGCATCATCCTTATTGTCTGATCAGCCCTGTTGTCTGATTTCCCCCAGCTGTGAAAATTTAAATAAATAAAAATTGGGGGGAACAATGCTTATAAGCCATGATTTTGTGCAATTGTGAAAATTATTTAAATTGGTAAAAAGAAGGGGGAGGCTTAAAAATAAGCATCAATATTGTCCTTGAGGTTATATATATCAAATTAATTCTGCCAAGCCTAGCTATAGTTAAGGAAAACCCACTTAGCTTTTGCAAATCTTACCCTTTGTATCTATCAGCATTGTCTAACTCTGCTCCCACTGAACCAATAGTCCTGCCCTAAATGGTTACATGTTAATACTAAGCATGACCTCTGGAAATACTGGCTCTTCTCACTGAAAATCTGCAATATCCACTGGAGGTTACTGGGGTGAGGAGGATGTACATTTCGGGGTTTTTTCACAGCCTCTACTTATATTATCATGCAAAATATTTAAGGTGTATTGAACAAGCACCAGGGAGTTACATTATTTAACCATATGGTAATGTCAGAAATGTGTTTACGAATATTTATGGGATGTGCAGATGGGGGCCAATTTACATTGTACACAATGTGAGAACCCTTTAACATAACTTTGTGTTAACCAGTAAAATTATTTTTTATTGACTGAATGAAGAAATTGCATATTAAATTGATAGAGTTTACAAAAAAGTAAAGTGAAGTTTGGATTCTCTACAATTACACAAAGATGGTTTGACATTCAATGGATCTAGTCCACATTCTACTGAGACTATAAAATTAAATAGCCTGTTCTGAAAGAAAGCTCGATAAACCTCTTTCATTTTATCAGGTTTACAAGGCATTAGAAAATGTATCGATATATGTAGTCGCCACTCATTGTAATATTCCACTTTCATGGCTTGATCTGAATACATTCATATAATTCTTGCTTCAGTCCCAATTTAAATTCCCAAACAAAAAAAACCCTTTATTTAACATTAGTTATGGTTATTCTCAAGTTAAACCATATTAGGAGATATAAAATTAAGAATTAAAAGGTTGCAAAGTCAAACATGCACAAGTTAGGAAATGCCAATATGAACATTGCCCATGCAGACTTAATTCAGCTCCCTTCTGCATATGCAGTATGATACAGTACAATGTACAGTAAACTGTGTGTGCAGATGTAAAGTAATGCCATTTGTCATGAATTTGAAGCAAGAGGAATGAGATTAAATTGTAATACAGAGAAGACTTTGTGCATGGTGAAGTTGATTGCTATTTGGCTTCTTAGTTGCTTTCTTCTAATAATGGCCACTGGTACATTCTTGTAAGGTGATCTGTTTCAGACACATGGCGATGAAGCTATATTTATAATTACATTGAACATAAAATTGTTTCCAACTAACGAAAAAACATTATGGAGAAAGAATTTCACAACATATTTACACCTGTTAGTTTAAAAAACTCATCCCCTTATTTAAGTATTGTAAGAGTTCTTCTTTGTGCTTCCAAACTAAAATAACTCAGATCCTTTAAGAAGATATGTGTTGCTTCTTTCCATGGTTTGGTGGCAGGTGTACCAACTTGAATACTCTGTCTCACAAACAGAATATAATACAGTATGAACTGGAGGTGAGTTTAGTGAAATATGAAACAGGAAAAATAAATGAAGAAATCCTTTTTTTCCTTCCATCACTATTGTCTTTCACTTTTCAAGTTTTTCTATAGTTTCTCATCAGTTCAGAGAGCATGCTTTTGTCAATATGTATGTTAAAAAAAAGTAATTCATGTTAACCTGCTGTTCATGCACCTGTGATTCAACAAGACTGCTGCTGATTCATAGACCTACATAGACTTCAGCTGTCACGTGAAGACACTCCAATAGCTATTTCTATTTGATATAAGCATCTAAGGAATAGTGAGCAATGAGGTTTTTTTTTCCAAATGCTGTGTCTCCGAAGCCAACCGATAAAGTACATTGCATTAAGTCACAGGTGCTGATGAGTTCAGGAAAGTGTTGCTTACTAATATCATGTAGAGAAAGCAAAACTGTTACCAGGCCTTTTCAGATAGCAGCAGCTGCTTCATTTGTAGTGTTCTGTACTAACTTCCCACCATTTTGTTCCCCCCATATCTTTTGTAATACAGCAGGTTACTTTTAAACCTCCTGAGTTGACTGCTAGTGTCGAACCAGTTTTCTGAGGTGAACCTCCCTTAAATGTCATTATGTTCTTTTGGTTAATCTCTTTCTTTCAGATCTCAGTTTCTGGTACCGGATGTGGAAATTCAGGATGGCATTTGTGGGATCATCAGCCATGGCCAATTCCTCGTTAACTGAAAAGCAGAAACAGTCATGTTAATTAACAGCTCTGAACTTGTGACACAGAGAAGGTAACAGTGGGGTAAGCTTACCAACATTGCTGGAGGAATCTCTTCTGGGCATGAGAAGGTAGTTAAGACTGCATGCCCATTGAAGGCCTGATCCAAAACTTAATGAAGTAAAAGGATCCTATTTACTTCACTGGGCTTTAGATCAGGCTCTGAGTCCTTTGCCAGTTGTGCTAATGGTGGCATTTTATTTTGTGTTGTGATAGTACCTAGGGGCCCCAATCACTGGCCAGAGCCCTATTACACTAGGTGCTGTACAAGCACAGAACAAAAAGACATTCCCTGCCCCCATGGAGCCTACAATCCAGTGTAAGGTAAGACACAACAGAGGGCTACAGCAAATGAACAGGGAGAACAAAGTAACAATGAGACCAAACTGGTTAGCATAAAAAACTGGACACAGCACTGAGGCCTCACACAAAAGGGATCTTAAAGGGGGAATTAGGAGGAGGACAATAAGGCCTTCTTGTGCTTGAAGGGTATCATGGGAGAAAGTGTTCGAAAATTGAACACGCAGACACTGGTTTTGGTAGTGTGGACGGTGTTTTCAAAGGAGTCTCAACGAATGAGGCACCTAGCTCCTCCTGAATGCCTAAGGCCCTGTCGCCGGTTGGACTGGTCCTTCAAAAGACTTGTGCTCAGCACTGCCTGTGCCTAGTTATCCAGCCCCCATGTGATGGACTTGGTCTGGTGGCTGGATCAGATGATCAGGATCACATGATGATAGCCTAGGGGTAGGGCCTCCTATAAGAGGAAGTCTGCTCAGAAGTACCAGGGACCTGTTGGGACAGGAGGGCTCTCTTGCTGTAAGCCAGGGATAGATGGAAGTGCTTAGAAGTCTCACTGTAAAGAGCTGGGAAGGAGAGTCTAGGAGTGCCAGTAAACCCAGAGCTGGAATCCTAATATGAAAGTAATTGATAAGCCATGAGGAAAAGGGATTGACTGATTTGAGAAGCCCTGGTAAGGGGGTTATTAGAGAGCTGAGCAAGGGGCTGTGAGAGAGACTTAGAGACAGGCCTAGATAAGAAGTGGCCAGCAAAGTGAAGCACTGGATCTGAGTTGGTGGAACTTCTCTGATTACTACTGGGTCCCTGGACTGGAACCTCAGGCACAGGAAGGCCCTACAAGGCCACTGAAAAGTGCAGTTTGAAAATCCCCTCATACTAGAGGCAGAAGGCCTCTTGATCCTGGAGTCAGACTGAAGATTCAATATGAGGTTGCTGGAAGTTTGGGTGGGGTTTTGGACTTCTTGTGTATCCCAGAAGGGAGACGCATAGTCTTTATGATTTGGCAAGAGAACTAAATCATTTGAAGATTTGGGAATTGGCTTAAGTGCAGGAAATGGAGGTGTCTAAAGCCTGGAGAGGGGAAACCAAGGCACAGAGAACTGGGTGCCAAAAGGCAGTAAGGTGATCTGGTAACAGGCCCTTTTGCAAATGGCACCACATATATGTGTCCACTTGAAACTGAACTGAATTTTTCACCTAACATTTGATGGCCTTGTGGTTTTTAATCACAATAATCTTTATTGGATTTGAATTGGCCATATATAATAAAAGGTTCTAGATCCCTTTGGTGAACTCCTCTGCCAATTAGTCCACTGATTACTCTTTTATGGCTGTGTGTGATGTTAGGAAACACCAGTTGCCTTATCAAAATCCAAACCTAAAGGGGAACAAAATCCTAAACTTTAGCAGTACATTTAAACATCTGGTTTTACATAAAGACACTCATAGATGTGATAATCCCAAAGCACTTTCAGAGTAATGATACTGGTACTGTAATGACTGTCTAGGACAGCAAGAGCGAGTATGCCATCAGCAATCAGTGACACACGTTTCCCCCCCGAGGGGGAATCCTGGCTACATCCCAGTTACATGGCCAAGGGAGGGTGTCCCAGTACAGAAAAAGGGATCATGCTATTGAAAAGATTGGAAACCACTGCATTAGGTTTACCTTAATGTTGTTTCATCACTGCTGAAGTATATTTAATACACAAACAGTCACCGAGATGGCTCTTTACTAAAAGAGAGATCCTTTGTTTGTATTTCAAGAAAAGTCTAATGTAAATGTTCACTTTCACAATAATTGGACTTCATTGGCCATCTCCTGTTCTCTCATTACACCACCTCTCTGTGGTAATATTGGTTATTTCCAGTAGCACCTCAACACTTCAGCTTCCTTATGTTTGATAGATACTGTATGGTGTCATGTTTTTTGGTACCATAGCGTGTGGTTGGTTTTCTGTTGTCGGTAGCTACAAATTATTTTTAGTCAGAGAAAGGCAATGACAGAACTGATTGAAGCAAACAGACTGGGCTTCACTGATCTGGTCAGTGTCTGAAAAGTGCATGTTGAACAAGGGGCTGCTTGAGTAACTGTTTTAGCAGCTTGGCGAGTAACATAGTTTGTGCATTTACACACACACACACACACACACACACACCACTTGTTAAGGCCGAAAGTTCAGAAACCTGGAGATGTTATGCAAATGGCATATTTCCCTATTTTGCATCGTTGAATATGTATCACCTTATTTACATAATGACTACAACAAACATCCTGATTACCAGAATTTAAGCCTGACACACAGCTACAGCATGGAACAAGCTTTGGAAACAGAGGAATTGCTGTGCCCCGGTGGGGCTCTGGCATATACTTGGACTGGCATCCAGATAATTCAGGAGACTCTACCCTGGCTGCGCCTTGTCCTAGACTGGTTGGGGAATTGTGGCTGGGTTGGTGGCCCCTGCTGCTGACTGGGAAATCTGGCTGTTTCCTGCTGGGGATGCTCTGGGTTGATAATGCTAAATCCATAAAGGGACTCAGGATTGCAATGCTGAACATTGCAGTAGCTAGTCACTCAGTGGAATCCACAAACCCTGAGTGAGGTGCCTAGGCTTCCTGTACAATGCATGGGGCAAGACAGGTGAATGGAATCCACAAAAGCCAGCATACTTAGTGAGCAGGTGCATAAGTTAGCCAGGAGCAGATGCTGAGGATAGGGTGCATCCTAAGCCCTGCCCCTGTCAAGGAGTTAGGTGCCCGAGTCCAGGATAGAGGGAGGTGCCTATGTCTGCCTGGGATCCACAGCTGTGAATCCTCTGCTGGAGTCTGGCATTGAAACCCTTCCTTGAAGTAAGGTGGCAGCACTCCTGCCTAACTCCACACAAAAGGGCCGGGGTGGGGGGAGGAAATGACCCTCCATTATAACATTTAGCCCAGTGGATAGGGGACTCACATGAGAGACCCTGGTTCAGTTCCGCCATCTGCCTGATCTAGAGCAGGGATTTGAACTGGGGGTCTCCCTGCTCTCATGGGAGTGCCTTAACAACAGAGCTATGGGGAATTCTGACATGGCTCACTTTCAATGTCTCCTGTTAAAGTGGTTCTACTGTGTATGAAATACTTAAACAATTAAGTATTAATTGAGCCAGAGAGATCATAAGAATGACACTCTAGCCCAGTAGTTAGAGATCCACCTGAGAGGTAAGAAACCCCAGTTCAAATCCCTTCTCCACATCAGGCAGAGGGAGGAAGTCAATCAAGGTCTCCCACATCATGGATGAGCAGCTGGACTCCTGGGCCAAAGGTTATAAGGGAGGCCACCACTTCACTACCTCCCAGCCATTTTGTGGGGAGTTAGGAGGCTCAAAGCCCCACACGTGAGAGAGCTGATGGCTCACCTCGTCCGAGCATGTGGCTGGTGCTTAGGGGTGAGTTAGGCATTGAGCTGCTGGGAGGGGTCAGGATTGAGGCAGTTATGCACATGCCCAGCCAGCAAGACATAGGCACCTAGGGCAGTTCAGTAGCAAAAATATAGAATCAAGGGGACTTTGGGCACCAGCAAGGTAGGGTGGCAGCTGAGCAAAGATTTTGAGGATCTCGTGGCACTGAAAATGTTGGACTTAGGTGCCTATTGTGGCAGTTAGGCACCTAAGCCCTTTTGTGGCTCTTGCCCATGGTCTCTAATGGAGTGTCCAGCTCTGGCAGTTGGTGCCTCTTGCTCCCTGGAAGGGGAGGCGAGGATATGGGGCTCTGGCTGCAGCACCCTAGTTATAGACCTCAGAGCCTTGTGATCAGAGGTGTTAGCCAGGACACTGCCCCATGTCACACTAGCCATAGTTCTGAGTCTCTGGCCATGGGTGGGCTGGGGGGTGGCGGGTACTATGCTCTGAGCTGCAGCTCTGTGGTTAGAGTCCACATGGCTGTTGACACAGAGTGCCCTAGAGGACTCTAATTGTACTGAGTCTGCCTAGAATGGCCCTATCCTGACAGGTGAGGCCTAGAGTATCATCACAGCTCTCTACGTGAGGACTAGAGTTAAGCTCCTCTGGAGTAGTGGTGTTGAAAGCAGCTAAAATGCGGAACTTCCTGGCCCAACAGCCTCATGAAGAGGTCTGAAAAGGACTGTGCAACAGCAGATAAACTAGCTTTTCTTTGAGCGCTAATTCCTAATTCATTCAGATACACAGAATTGACAGCACTCTTTGTGATGGTGCCACCTGGCATCTCAGATAGTCAAAGGCAGCTGATCTCAGTTACACCAAAACTCAATTAAAAAAAACACAACATTTGAGGCAGAAGAGACGGCATCAGATACAATTACTCCAAAGTGATGATTTTAGTGCTTTGTCAAGAAGATTTGATTTGTTTAATGTGGAATTGTGCATGTGATAATGGGATTAACATGTGTTCAAAACAAACTGTGCAGTGCTAGTGACTGTCTGGATAATTCCTCTGGTGGTGTTCTATGCACAGTCAGTGTTGATTAGAAAAGTGAGCACTGCCTGTGGTAGGTTTGACTGATCACTGGCACTTCTAAGACTGTGTGTGTGGTGGGGGGGGTTCTAATCTGGCATTGCTATTTTGACTGCTTCAGTGTTTCTCTTTAAATTGTACTTAGGCACCCTTTACAATTCACACATCCTCCTGATCAGATTCCAGGTGCTCTCCCATTCTGCCTCAAATAATGAATACAGACTTTTCAAGTACAGCAGTAGCTGAATTCTAACGTGCTGTAGACAGCCTAATCGAACAAGGAAGAACCAAAGCAAAACAGGCTGTCAGTTCAATAGCAGCAGCAAAAGTGTTATCAGACAACTTTGGTGCGTAAGTATTGACATACGTTGTGCCCAATAAACACAGCAACCTATAGAGTCTAGACACTGGAATCCAATGGAATCTGTGGTCTCTGAGAACTCACTGTGAAGCATCCAAGGAGTTTACTCTTTTCTGTTTGCGAAGGGCCTCATCCAAAGCCCACAGAAATCAAGGAGTTTGTCCATTGGCCTGAATGTCCTTTGGATCAGGCCCAAACAGCTTTGGCTTGAGCCTGGCAGTCTGAAGTGCAAGCAGCATTGCACCAGTCTGCCACTACAGCTCAGTCTTGACCTGCAGCCATGACATGAGCCGAGAAGGAATGCAGCGCAGGTCTCCCTGTATGGATAATTTGTCGGAATGACACATGAGAGGATGGGAGATCCCTTTTTAAAATGTTTATCATTCAAGCTTTTTTACTGCAACAATCCTGCTATCCCAGGGCCTTTCTTGCACAAGGGCCATTTGATTGTTCTAGCACTCCGGATCCTGATTTTCAATATGTGGGTATTCACACATTTGTGGGCGCACTCTCACACACATGGTCTTTGGTATCTGAGTTAGGGGTTAAAAAAAATCTGAATGTAGATCTCTAATTGATTATGGACCGGCTAAAGTTGTGACACGCCAGATGGGGGGCTTGACCAATGCACTCAGTAAAAAGGGAAGGTACACTGCTCTTAATTTTATTTCAGGAGTGCAGACATTCAACTTAATGAGCAAATAGACATAAGACTCAATCGCTATTAACCTCCCACTGAAGGCTTGAGCAGCAAAGGTGCAGAGGAACCTGATTTGTAGTTTAGCTGTACTATAGTTTCTCCTTTATGGTTGCTTGTAATACAAATGAGTATGGCTCTTTTCTGCTTCAGTTCACGCAGTCAGTAAAATTGTGGGGCTTAAACGTAATTTCAGTCCAAGTCCTGAACTGTGGCTATAAGCCATCTTCTGGTTGGAGAAACTGTTTAAATGTGGCACCACAGCTTCAGAAGGCTTGACAGGTTTTGCTTTTTACATAAGAACGGCCATACTGAGTCAGACCAAAGGTCCATCTAGCCCAGTATCCGGTCTTCCGACAGGGAATGAACAGAACAGGTAATCAAGTAATCCATCCCCTGTCGCCCATTCCCAGCTTCTGCTATTCACCGCAGGTTAGTTATTTAGTATATGCAAAATGTATTTGATTATACACAGAGGTTTGTCTGTCCACCCTGTGTCATCCCCAGGGGTCTCACTCACCCTCTATCAGCTTGATCCTGAAGTAGGCAATGAGCAACAATAGGAGCAAAACCACTGGCAGGAAGATCCCAGTGAAGATAATCCAGGCAGGCAGCTCCTTTGCAAATGCTGACAGCGTGTAACCCATGGCCAGTCTCATCGGCAACATTCTTGCTGAAAGAGACGCTCTAGGCCTTTCCCTCTGTTCCCCCTCCCCCCCCCCCACACTTTCTGCCCTTTGCTCCGAGCATTATTGCTTTGTTTGGACTTTGCTCTGTTTGTTCAGGCCTGTGATTTCTAATAGGATTGTAACGGGTTACAAAGTTCCTAAAGTGCACATTGGCATGACACAATCCGCCTTGTGACTGGAAGGTTTGGATTTGTTGGGTTTTGTTCACTTGCATTTTTAGCAGTTTTCTTTGAGACCGCTTTTTGCAGGAAAATCGATGTGTTTTTGAATACTTAGCATTTTTACTCTCAGTATTATTTATTTATTATTTGTATTACACTAGCACCTAAAGGCCCTACCCAAGATCGTTGTGCTAAGCACTATACACGCGTGTGCACGCACACACACTGTAAGACAATCCCTACCCCAAAGAGATTGCAGTCTAAATAGACAAGACAGACCAAAGATGGGAGAAAGGAGAATTGGCCTACTAAACCCAGAGTAGTGAGTTCACTCCTTGAGGGGGCCACTTAGGGATCTGGGGTAAACTCAGTACTTGGTCCTGCTAGTGAAGGCAGGGGGCTGGATTCGGGGTCCCTTCCAGTTCTATGAGAGAGGTGTATCTCCATATATTTATTTTAGATGAGGAATTGAGGCACAGAGAGATGAAGGGCCAGTTTTTCAACAGGGCTCAGAACCTACCATTGGGCCCAGACTTTCCAAAGAGCTCAGCTCCCATTTAAGCACCCAAATAAGTGGCTAGATTTCAACAGCTCAGCATGCAGTGCGCTGAACTCTTTGGAAAATCTGGCCCCAGGTCACACGGGAAGTCTGTGGCGGAATGTAAATAGAACACTGATCCTGAGTACGAGATCAGAGCTTTAAGCAAAAGATCTTCGTTCCTATATATCTCTAGAGACTTTTCCCAAAGTTTCCACAGTACTAGAAATCATTTAAAGGTGTCAGACTGACAGACTTGGCAACTTTTAAGCTGTCTTAATACCCACAGGATGGGTGTGAAGCTTCTCAGGGGTACCCAGGTTTGTGAGGCACCTCAATACCATCTGCCTTTAGCATGAGGAAGCTTGTCTGTGCCTGCTGTGGGTCATCTCCCTGTCTCTAGCAATCACTGGCAACACCAGCACACCTCTCCAGGCCTACCCAGGACCTGTTCTCTTTCTACAGTTAGTGATAGGCACACCCCAAACCTTCTGAGAGTCTCCCTGGAGTGTGCAGCCCCTGTTCCAGTGGCCACTTGCAATATTCATAGATCAGCACACCCAGGCTTACCAGTTATACCTCAGATCAATGTTCAGCTTCACACACCACAGCAGTTAGACAAGTTTATTTAACACAGTATAGAGATTCTAATAATAGCAAGTAGAAATATTGGCAATAAGTGGTTACATATAAAAACATAACACACATTCTAGAACCTCGACGTACTTAACTAGACGCTTCATGTCTTTTTCAATCTAGCAGAGAAAGGTATAATGCAATCCAATGACTGGAAGTTGAAGATAGACAAATTCAGACTGGAAATAAGGCATACATTTTTAACAGTGGGAATAATTAACCATTGGAACAATTTATCAAGTGTCGTGGTAGATTCTCCATCATTGGCAATTTTTAAATCAAGAATGGAGATTTTTCTGAAAAATCTGCACTAGGAATTTATTTTGGAGAAGTTCTATGGCCTGTCTTATACTGGAAGTTAGACTAGATGATCATAACATGCATCTACGTACAAAACAATCACTTAGACTTTTTGGTTTGATTTGCTCATGTATTTGAGATATGGTTAGCTGAGAAATTATGTACAGAAGAGGATAACGTTCATCTTTACCTTCCCTTGTCACACTTCATAATTTTAGGGATGGACAGTTGATGGATTATAGAACAGATAGTTGTTGACTGGTTGGTTTCTGACTGGAAAGGAATTAAGAAATTTCTCCATCCTCCACACTGGTATGATCTGGTAGCCAAATAAAAAGTGACACATTTGGAAGATAAGTTGCTGTCAATATTGTTCAAAATTATCCTGTCAGTTCCATCTGTTTGTCTAAACAGCAATTACTCTAGATCTGTAAAATCAACAACCCTGCTTCAAAAATTGTACTACTGATCTCAGATCAGTTTGGGATGCATGGCTGTCTTTGCAGTATGGGTGACAAAGGGAACAGGTACTCTGTCAGAGCAATGACATTTTGTTTTTTAAAAACTACTGTTACAGCTCTCTAGGGTGACCAGATAGTAAGTGTGAAAAATTGGGACAGGGAGTGGGCCGTAATAGGCGCCTATATAAGAAAAAGCCCCTATAAAATAAAATCAGGGCATCTGGTCACCTTGCAGCTCTCACACAAGTAAATCTAAAGTATGACGCTTGTATAATCAGTTTTAAAGTGTGGAATGATGATTCCTGGTCCTGGATTTTTCTGTTGTGTGATTACACTTTTAGTTTATATGATTCCTGTGTTTTCCTGAGCTCATAAGAGCCAGAAGAAAATCAGATAATTTCTACTAGATGTAGATCAGTTTAAGGGGAATACCTGATGCCCTGAATGATCTGTAGAACTTGATAGCATCTTGGGAAAGAAGTTGATGTGCCTGTTTTGATGAAATGCCACTGTTTGTAAAAAGACTGAAGAAGTAGTCCTTTTGGTTGCCATCTCACTAGTGTTACCAATATAGACATTTGATGGTACAGCTTTGAAAGAGGCAGGGAATAGAGCAGGTCAAAACTCACAATTTCCATTTTGCAGGAAATGCCAATGTTTTAAAACTCCCCTTTGTCCAGCATCAGAACAAAGTCAAAAATTTTAAAATTTCCTGTCAAACAAATTTTTTAAAAAGTTTTGGAAATATCAAAACAAGCTTATTGAAGCAGAGTAAACAAGAGAGTTATTCCAGGTGTTTGAGAGCATTTTGGATAGTAATCAAAACATAACAATCTATTAATATGACATGCCCAAGTGTGAGTCAGCCACATGACAGCTGAACTGACCGTCTGGATTGCTCTTCCTCAAAGCAAATACTGAAGTAAATCTGCTATGAGATGGGGACTCGACTACTTTAATTTGGCTTACTTGTTAAAATCAATTTTACTGTAATTATAGTGGAATGGGGAGGCTTGCTCAGGAGCTTGGTAATGACAGAGCCTTTCAGCTCTAGGTCATTGGCTCAAATTTGGCAGTGGCCAAAATTAATAGTTTCTCAGCTTCTAGAGAGTTATGTGATATGAAGTTGGTTTCCAAATTCTGGTGGACAAGTGAACATGTCACAGCTGGCCCTCATGATGTCAGTCTCAGCAATGATACCAAGGACTAAATAAGCCTTAAGACTGAACTATTATCTGCTCTTGAACATGGGATGAGATCCTGGATCCATTGAAATGAAGGGAGCAAATGTGACCAAGATTTCACCTACAGTTCTCAATTGAGGCATATCATAGAATCATAGAATATCAGGGTTGGAAGGGACCTCAGGAGGTCATCTAGTCCAACCCCTTGCCAAGTGGCTCTGTGGTGTGGCTAAGCTGGGTCTATCATTGAGGATTCATCTCTTTTGTATGGATGGACAAAGGACCTGAGTGTCCTGGACTGTCAAGCTAGTACATGTCCAGAACACTGCATAATTTTATTAAAACTGAAGTTTAAGTTTGGACACTAAAAATGTTATTCCTACTGATGGCCACCCATGCCTTTCTACTGGAACACAACAACCTTGGCATTTTTATTCATAGATTAAAGCCAGGGACCATTAAATCATCTAGTTTGATCTCCTGTATATCACAGTCCATTAAAGTTCACTCAGTTACTCCTGTATTGAGCCCAGTAATTTGTGTTAGGCTAAACCATATCTTCCAGAAAGACATCCAGTCTTGACTTGAAGACATCAAAAGAAGGAGACTCCACCACTTCCCTTAGTAGTTTCTTCCAGTGATTAATTACCCTCACTGTTAAAAATGTGTCTAATTTGAATTTGTCTGGCTTCAGCTTCCAGCCATTGGTTCTTGTTATGAGTTTCTCCACAAGATTAGAAAGCTCTTTAGTACCTGGCATTTTCTCACTGTAGAGGCACTTATACGCTGTAATCAAATCATTGCTCTAATTTTTTTTTTTTTAGTAAACTAAACAGATTAAGCTCTTCAAGTCCTTCATTGTAACGCATTTTCTCCAGTCCTTGGAAAAATTTTGTGGCTGTTTTCTGTACTTTTCCAATTTTTCAACATCCTTTGTAAAATGTGGATGCCAGAACTGTATGCAGTATTTTAGTATCAGTTTCACCAATACCATATACAGAGATAAAATCCACCTCCCTTCTCACAGCTCCTCTGTTTATACATCCAAGGATCTCATTATCCCCTTTGCCACAGTGTCACACTGGGAGCTTGTGTTGAGTTGGCCCCTAAATCCTTTTCTGAGTCTCAGTATTCTAGGATACAATGCTCTCCTCACGCGCCTTCCCCCCCCCCCATTCTGTAGGTATAGCCTGTATTCTTTGTTCCCAAATTTATGACCTTGCATTTGACAGTATTAAAACACTGTTTGTTTGAATGGTCCCAGCTTACCCAGTGATCCAGGTCGCTCTGTATGACTTGGGATATTGTACACTAGCTAAAGAGCCACTCAGCTCAAATCTTGTTTTATTTTATTGAACCACCCAAAATGGTGAGTTGCTGTTTTAGTTATTTCTCAACCATAGATTGGGAGATTTTTGAATAGTTTTAAGATTGGTCAAGTTTCAAGCCTAAAAACACTTAAATTTCTGTTAACTAATCAGAAGAGGCATGATAAATGAAGTAAAATGGGCTATTTTAAAAAAATCTGTTAAGTACCCTCCTCCCACAACACACATATACATACACATATCTAAAGAAAAAACTTGAAGCCTCCTGTGTTGCAGTAGATGCCAGATATGTAAGACTTAATTTCACCTTCTTGACCTATCTGCACTCCACCTTCATAAAGCCTGAATATGCCTCATACATTTTGTAGCTGTGGGAATTTCACCCTTAAAGAGACACCCTTGGAGAGCAATGACAATCTGTA